TAATCGATTATGTCGATTAGTTGTTGCAGCCCTAATCCTAACCCCACCTAATAAACAATAAACATGCATACAAATCAACAGTATATAAGTGATATTGAAAACAGCAAATTACGTTCAAGAACAGGTGATATAGCCCTTAATAAGCTTTAAGTTAAATAAACAAATAAGTATATAGACTGCAAGAGGAACTAAAGTGCAAAGCGCAATCCACGTAAATTGTGAATAATCAGTGTGGTAACTGATGGCAACCAGATTTTTAACAACTTTGTATAAAGTGCAAAATAAAATCAGCGCAACCAAAGAACAATATGAATTTTCAATTAATAGTGCACATCAAGCAAATGTGATCTTTTGATCAATGGTACCCAATAGCAACCAGGTTATCACAGGGATAACTCACAATTTACTTGTCTTGCACTTAGTTCTTCTAGCACGTCCATATATTAATTTATAGCGTAATGGTTATATATTTAATCATGTCCCAGCAACACATGGAAGTTTACAGGCATTCTGCAAGGTCTTCAAAAACCGAATCAGGTTGACAGATTGATATGTTACCTCTGTTAGATTGACAAAGTTCGGATCTCCTAGTAAAGTTCTCTTAGCATAAGCAAAGCGGAAAGCTTCTACAATGCGGTGGTAGGTCAGTCCCAGAGATTCTGGTTTTACACTTGCACTTGTAAAACTAAAACCTGGTAGAAAATAGGAAAAGAGAGAAATAAAAAATATTAAACCAGATATCCTCTTTAACATAATGGCAGTATTATGTAACAGTCTTTAATGGCAGCGCATGATTTTATGCAGCGCAGTGTTTGCAAGTCAGTAGGCAATGACTGTGGTTTTATGCCGACAACTAATTAGCACATTCTGTTACAGAGAAGTAACTAAAACAGAGAACTTTCTTCATCAGGGTCTCACCCTTCAGTATGTTAAGAATAAGGCCAAGGACAGGACCACTCAGGGGAGCCCTAGGACTGATTAGGGTAAAGTCACCGAGTTGATACCGAAGTGGATTCTCGCTAATTTCAACTTTATAATTCTTCAGATCGTCTTCTGTAATGATTCCACCTGCAACAAAGTGGAAGAAAATAAAGTATGTAGGACAGATCCTCAGTGGGAAAGTAATTCAGACCACTAGGCCAATCTGGTAGCAGTTCAGTTTTTGAAGAATGTTTTTTTTTTCTCTTAGTGCTGACATATGCCACACTTACTAACAAAACCATTGAACCATGCTCATCAGTAATGTAACCATACCCAATCTAATCTCCCTACTATAGTCATACATACCCTATTTAAATTATATTCAGATTTAAATGATAGTCAGTGTACCCATTGCACTCCTTACCGCTAAATCCTTGATGAATGGGTTGGGTGCATCAGTAGTCGACGGATGGCCACCGTCCAGGCAAAGTATAAAGAGTTATGGACACCGGCACTCCAAAGTAGAAAAACGTCTTTTATTGACGCATCATGCAACAATACACTTATTGCAACGTTTCGGGGTCACACAGGATCCCCTTCATCAGTATAATAAGTGTATTGTTGCATGATGCGTCAATAAAAGACGTTTTTCTACTTTGAAATGCCGGGGATTTAAATGAAACGCTTTACGTTCATTCTTGTGATATACTGTACATACCTCTGCTAGTCTGTAAAATCACTTTACTACTTCCTAGTTTAGCGTTACCGCTTTCTCAGTCAGCTTTAGAGATGATTCACACCAGCCGGCCATGTGTTCAGCTGCTGTTCACTGGAAGGAAGAGTGCCAATGCGCCAATCTCATTGACTTGTTTTATTTGAATTTTATTGAAATGTCACAAGTTACATTTCATTCAGTTCTATTGACCACAGGAGCTTTGGCGATGCTGTGGTTTCTGCCGCAGCACACTGTGCTGAAAAATTGACGGCATGTTGTCTTTTCGTTTTTAGCACACGATTTGGTGTGAACTGACCATGCTGAAATCAAGGCTTTTTTTCCTTGTCTATGTGTTGAGATTGAGACTGCACAGGGCAAGGCTGCCAGTGCAGCCCCAACACATCTGGTGTGTACGCTTCCTTACTGTTTTCTAGGTATGTTCACTGGACAGAGGGGAAGATTTATTTGTCCAATGAGGCGGTTGGAGAGTGGAGATGTGACACAGGAAGCTGAATTGTGAAACCAGGAAGATTCATTATTTAATTAGGAACAATGTTTGTCACCTGTGTAGCAATGACCCCGAAGGAGCCGCTGTTAATTTAGGGTCCTCCTACCTGTTTAGCAGTTACTGTCCCTTTTTTTCTCTGCTTCAGCAAAACCAACACTTTTAAAATAGAACATACTCAAGTGGTAGGGTATTTTCAGTATTTATTGGTCAGTAGTAAATTCAGGAGAATAAGCAGATTCTTACTCAAACCCAGCTTCCTTTAGGTTTCTTTCCAGTAGCATCTTAGGCCTCTGGGCCCCTAGCACCTGCCATATGCTGAGGCCCAGGTCAGACATCTTGCAAACACACAGGCCTCCTCACAGGGAGAAGCCCTAGGGGAGAGAGAAAGTTCTGGAAAGGCATTCCCAAATATTTATTACCTTCTCCCAACCTGCTCAGGTATTGGTCAGAGTGAGATGCATGTTCATAGTCTGATAATATGGTAATCTTTTTATCGATCCTCCCACACTGTATGCTGGAGCCTAAACCCAGCAACCGAGGGAAACAATCAATCTACCAGGCTTAGGGAAAACCTGCAGAAGACAGAACAATCAACCTCCAAACTGACTACAGTCCAGAAATAAAACACTAAATTTAGTAGCGGCACAACTATAAGTGACAGGAACGCTACACCAATCTGGTTGTGCAATGTGGAAAATTAGTGTAATGGCAAAATTAGTGTTTACATATGTATATGTGTTTAAACTGTATGCTGTGTGCAAGGAGTTTCACGTTAAAAGGAGATGTGACGTCCCCACATATCCTCTCCTGTTATAACATCAGCATTGTAATCGGAATACATACTAGACTTGTTTTAGATAATGCAATCAAAGCTTACTTGAAAAAAATCTCTTTTATGTAGTGAGTACTGCCTTCTGTCTGCCCATCACTTTCATCAATTTCCTGGATTCCCAGTGTGCTTTGTGTCTCTTTGCCTGCTGCTTGATGTGATGCAATCTCCATTTCTCAAGACTACATAGCCCAGCATGCATTGCTTTCAGCAAGCAATGATAATGTTACATTGTTCAGACGTTGAGGTGTATTTCAGAAGGCAGTGTCACACTCCTGATCTTACCTGCTTGTTGAACGTCTTTGACAATTTGTGTGGCTAATTGACCGCTGTAAAAAGCCTCGGGATTATCCGCCAGGACTTGTAGTGTTCCTGCCAGTTTAGGCATCTTCACAATATCTCCTTTCTCCAATACCTTCCCCTGTGCGTTACAGAATATTTCACTGTGTGGGGTTGGTGTAAAAGGAAAATAAATGTTTTAAATATTGGTGGCCTTAGAAAAATCTCTCAACATAAACTGTTTATTATTATTTGCAAATATTATTGACAAAACCTTTGAATTATCATTTGATATCAGGGCCGCTGCAAGGATTTTTGCCTACACAGGCGAAAAAGCATTTTTGCGCCCCCCCACGCGCATGCGCCCTCTGACGGCTGCCTGTGCACCGCACTTTTAGTCAATTAACTCTGCCTTCCATCAATATTAATACATGTCTGTACCTCGGTATGGACATGGATGGGAGCAGAGATCCACCGATACCATTTTTTCTAGACCGAGTATATCAACTATAGAGGACTACGAATACAGTTCTCACTCTCCCCCACATCCTCTCTGTTCCCACATCTCCCCTCTAGGAGAGCGGTGTGTGGGCGGAGACAGCCGGCGCTCTCACAGGAGGCTGAGCTCTCCTCTTCACACTGCTCACTCAGCCTCCTGTGACAGCATGTCAGAGAGGAGAGCGGGTACAAGCAGTCACTGATCAGTGATCGCTGAGTGTTTGTACATAATTGAGGACAGAGTATGTTTCCTGTATCCCCAATTATGAATGAATGGGAGTGATCTACATCCCCTCCTGTCCATTCATGATTGTGGTTATAGTAAACACACTCTGTCCTCATGTTATGAATGAACAGGAACACTCATAGAGGATTCCTGTTCATGCATAACAGGGGATACAGAAAAAGAGATAGAGGGCTCTGTGTCCTCAATCTCTTTTTCTATTTTAAAAGGGAAATATCAGGGGTCCTACTATCTCCCCGAAGCTCCCAACAGTAAAGGAAAAAAATTAAAATATTCCATTAAAATAAATAAAAATAAAATATAAAAAATAAAGTTTATAA